GGATCCGAACCCTCGGCGGGAGCGCCACCGCGCTTCCCAAGCGGCGCACTAGCGCAGTGCGCCACCGGGCCGGCCCTATAAGAATTCTGACTCTTCTGTTTACTAGGCCATTACCCAAATGCTGTAACTTAACACTGGCAGCTTATGTTAAATACGGACAAAATTCCCAATAGTCGATAGCTTCGTGGGTACTGGCATGTTAGAATTAAGCCTACATAACCAGGCAGCAAGCACTGATTTATAAATATAAATATAAGATGAACATAGAACACTAATTTCATTTTTGTCAGACTGTTCTAAATATACATATCTGAGTGGTAAAGAGTTTTGAATATATGTGTTTTTAAGCTGTAATCTATCAATGAATTATAATAGACCAATAAGGATAAGAAATGCTAGCTAGATATGCAGGGCTCCACCTTCAAAAACTCCAATAATATTGAGATCTACATTCTTCTTCTTCATTTGCTAAAGATGCCTTGATAATGTTTACCTATTTCTTTGGCACTAAATATTATGATTAATACAGTCAAGAAAAATAAGTAATTTCAGATTAAGTTATAAAGATGCCATCATGTTTCATTTTATCCACTTAGCCATGCTATATTTCTAATCTCATTGTCCATCCCTCTATGACTCTTCCTTTCTTTTGCTACCCTCCACACCTACAGGACAGTAACCACAGGTACTTGTCATAGCAAAATGTCAATGAAGACCTAACCAAATGAAGATAGTAAAGAATACACAGGATTTTTGTTTTCTTTTGTTTAATCTAACTTTCATCGGTCTGTGTTACCTAGTAATCTTTTAGGTTCATCTAACAACTAATCACAGGAAATGCCGACAGTGCTTATTTTGAAACTGGCAGACTGCTTTAAAACTATATGTAATTAACTGTGAGCTAAAACTGTCTTGCTGACTTAAAGGAATTTACCATTGGAACTTCTTTGGAAGAGTGGAGTGGTTTGAGATATTAAGAGATAGCTGCAGATTTAACCAAAGAAGTTATAAAAAGGGAGAAGACTAATTTCAAGCTACCTGGTGCTATGAAAATTCGATGTTTTATCTCAACTGTCTTTAAAGACTGGGAATGTTTAGAAATCATCATCAAAAAGTTTTTCCTATAAACATGTAGCAAATAGCTCCAATTTTTCATTCTATTCCTAACTCTTCTTGAACCACTTCCACATCAGAGTTAAAAAGGTGCCAAACCTTTCTCTTTTTTACCTATCAGAAGAACATCCAAGAATATTCTAAATCAATCTTGTTTCTGTTGACAGGACTATATCTGAACCCAGGGAAAGTTACTGAAGCAGACTGAATCCTACACTTATTTGCAAAGAGCCAAACTCATCATTTAGCATGGAGAAGGGCCAATCAACAGAGCTTTTTCCCCTTTCCAGGGCCAGAGAAATTCCTAGTCCCAGGAAATGTAATGGTTATGGATCAAAGACAAGCCTTTGCAAGAAAATGTCTATAGAGAAATTTATGTGCCAATTTTTGTGGGAGGATTTAGTTAGCCTTCCTAGCATCTCTGTCTTGTTATAAATATAAATATCAAATGTAATATGCCTGAATATATTGCTTCCTCCTCTTAAAGTGGTGGGCCACAGAATTGTTTCTAGGATTAAGTGAGCAAGAGAGTGAGTGCTTAACACAAGAGCCTAAGCACTGTTTTGGATCATAGTGAATGCTTGATAAATGCCTGTTTTGGTTTCTTCCTTCTGTCCTTCTCTCCCTCTCTCTTCTTTCTTGTCTTCCTTCCCTTTCATTCCCTCCCTCCCTCCTCCTTTCTCTGAAATAAACTAATCAGTTTGAAATTTATTTAGTTAGAAAATTGGCAGAAGCAGCTCTAATTTTGTGAGTTCTCATATTCTCCATGAGTTTCCTTTGCCTTCTATATTTTCAAGTATTTTAAGGACACATATCAAAAATATTTAGAAAAAAAATTTTATTGTTAGTAAAAATTGGAATAAATCTTATACAAAACTGCTTTTGTTATAATTCTAACTTAAATATTTTTAAAAAGTTAAAAAGTCAAAGTAAAGGGGCAACTTTGTAAGGACAGAACGTTCTATAATGAGATGTTATGGGGTAAAGTGATTTAGCAGATTCAAAAACTCAATTTCAGTGTTCTCTACTGAGGCAAATATAAAAGTTCTCTTTGTTCCCAGTTGTCACTCTTGTTCTCCCACAGATATTGGCATCTATGTGGGAGAGAAGGAAGGATTTCTATGTACATCCCTTGCCCCCCATTTTTCTGTGGCTTTCCATTTCATTTCATTCCTTCCAGAATTTCAGAAAGAATAAAAATTTGTTAGAGCAAATATAAAAGGACAGAGTGAGATAAATTATTTAGTCATGCTCATGTTCGTCCCCCAACAACTCTAAGCTAAACATTACATAATCCTTTTTAATCTACTTCCCCTCCCCAAGGCTGGAAGCCGGAATCGTAGAGTTGTGAGTGGGTTGCGTAAGCATGGTCACGGGAGGCAAACAGTTCTGCTAACCTTCCGGTCCTACCAGTAAGCAAAATTTAAGGGTAACACAGGGGTCTCACAATACATTACTTTCATCCCCCAAATTAGCCTCAGTTTGGTCATGGTGACACTTCTTTATCTGAGAAGAGCTTATTCATACTACACGTTGGTCATTACCATTTCACCCTCCATCTTGCCTGTTGAAAACTGGATTTTAGCCAAACAAACTAAACA